GGGGAGCAGTCTGTGGGATTCGAACCTCACAGCGTTTCCACTCAGCAGGAGCTCTGCTCTAAGCAACAACTAATAAACACAACATTGCAATAAAAACTCCAGATTATCTATGAAAACTTATGTGAAGAAGATTGATTAATTTATGCTTTTAATTGATTAAAGTTAGAAGGACTCAGAGTTTGGTTTAAAATCACTTAAAGATGTTATTCTTAGGATTCATCTCAGCTGCTGATCATCTCAGCTCCTCCTAATCAGCCTGAATAATTACACCAAAAAACTGCTCTTTAATCTTCATCCATTAACATTCGACTGTTTTATTAAAAAACAGAATAACTTGAGTCCTGCTGCCAAACATCAGCTTGATATTTAGAACCCTTAAAGCCAGGTGGGATAAAAGTATTCAACTATTTACTCCAGTTAAATAAACGGGGATCGATGGATTTCACTCAGTCGGCATTTTATTTTTCTACCTTTGCAAAGAGAGAACATTTCATCATCATTAGGTTACAGTTATCTGTCCTGTTCTGACTAGAAATTAGTTTTTCTTCCTTATTTATGTTGAAGTAAAAACTGTGACGGTTTAGTCAGAGTCAAGACTAATTACACACTAGCAAACCTTGAGAAACAATTTGGCTTGTCATGGGAATAAGTATGTTTTGTCTACAACCACCCCCCACTCAGACATTTCCTCAGCCTTACAGGTGAAACAAATAAAAAGTAAAAACATTTTTCACTGGATAAATAGAGAGAAAAAAATCGTAATTTTCTGACCAAAGTTCCACCCTTTGGATTATTAAAGGATATTATCCTTTCGTGTAATCGATGATAAAAAAAAATAAAGAAAATTTGTGAATATATGTAAAGAAAACTAAAAACTTAAATTGTGAAAGAAAACTAAAAACTATTAATTAAAATAAGACATATATATATTAAAAATAAAATGCAGAGGACAATGTTACATGAAATGAAGCCCTAGAATCACATCCTAGATAGAAAAAACATTTAACTGTTTTCCCCATAATGATCATTTCTATGGTAAAAGATCTATGTGCTGAGAATTTACATTTTTAGTTCTTATTATCAGTTAACACTTGTTTCCCTGGAAGAGAAAAGGTCAAATTAGTCGAAAAATAGACTCCTTCATGTCTACAAAGTATAAGTTAAATGATTAACCCTGAGCTCCTAAATGCAATAAACCTCATTATAAGTAAAAAAGGATCAATCTCTATGCAAAATGTTAAAATCATAAAGATGTTTCACGCAGATGACGAGTTCAGCTCTTCAGAATCAGATCAATCAAAGCACAGATTGAAAAGTTGGAGGATTTAATCTCAGCGCTCTTCTTCCCCAACGGTAGCTGAGACCCGATCATCAGAGTTCATTCTCTGATCCAGGAATCTCTGCCAATACTTTCCATCAGCCATCAGCTGCTCATCTAACACTATTAAGGAACTAATATCAAACACTTATGATACTAAAAATGTTCACCTGTCATTAAAATATAACACATTTTCCTTCTCATTCATGTTGGATAGTTTAAATAATCAAAAAGCCAAAGCTGATGTCAGACATCTTCAGGTGGGCGTCTTCATCTTTCTGTTGATGTTGGTCCCTTACACAGGAACCTGGTCTGCAGAACAGCTGGTCCTCAACACATCAGGTGGATTACTGATGTGTTAATCAACCAATCAGAGGGGATTATTCTGCCCCTTTATTCTGATTGGCTTTCCTGGTTCCTTCCAGATGAACTCTGATCACTTTCTTTTGATGTCTTTAAGCCCCGCCTCCTCCTGCTGAAGGATGGAAGGATGGCTGTGATGGTCCTCCATCAGGGTCTCCAGGCACCTTGGTCCCTCTGTAAAGCCTTCTCTGACTAAGGGGAAAAAAGGTCTTTAGGTCATTTTAATGTGTCACCTGTCAGT